TATTTATAATTTGATACTTTTGACTTTTTAAAAGTTGATAATCTTAGAATAGAAGATTTGATGAATTGTTTGTTAAAGCTACATATAACAATAAAGACATAATTAAATGAAGCTCAAAAATAATAAAAGATCAATGTGGATGCCTATGATAAGAAACAACTACAATTCAATGTAGGTGACAAGATATGGCTATTTTATCATAATATCAAGATTATTTGTCATTATCATAAGTTAGACTATTATAAGCTTGGACCTTTTTCTATAAATAAATAAGTCAATCTTTTTACTTATTGATTACATCTATTGGAGCCTATGAAGATCCATTTTATATTCCATATATTTCTTCTTAAACCATATAAGATAGTGAATATTTCAAGAAGAAAAATGCTACTTCTTACTATAAAAATGGATAATAATCAAGAGTTAAAAGTGGAAGAAATCTTAGATTTAAGGCAGTGCCAAAATACATTAGACTATCTTGTTCATTAGTGCGGATATGATATTAGTGAATGTCTATAAAAGCCAGCAAAGAATCTTGTAAATGCAACATAAAAGGTTGAAGATTTTTATTGATGACATTCATCAAAATCAAGATGAAGAATAGCATATCTTTACTATAAAAGAAATAAGATCTAAGAAAGATAACATTCTACCTGCTACTTTTATTTATAACTTTTGTGTATTTGTGATGCTAAAAAGATGGACAATCAACAATTAGCATGTTCAACTAAAAAGCTATTACTTGCTAATTTATCAGACAAGACATTGTAATTGTCACAACCTTCAAAATAACATAATTAAGATGAAGATCCTTAAGAATAAGATGTCTTTCTTTAAATAAATGGCGAGATATAATGTGTTTGATATCACAACCTTAGAAGAGACTCTTAATGTTTGGTGATTTTATTAGAGATAAAAATAATTTTTAATGGCGTCATAATATAAAACAGCTAATATGTGAAAGAATGAAGAAAATATCATATTTTTGAAGATCTTATTTCAAATATATTATAACAAATTACGTTGAAAAAATATATAATAATCAAAGGATAGAAAAATTAAAAGTATCTTTAATTCAAAGTGAGTAGAAGCTTATTTTTAAAATAGGATATTTTTTTATAAAATAGACTTCTACTCACTTTATAGAACCACAAATAGAACAAAATAAGGTAGATTAGAAAAATAAATAGTATAGGTAACTTTGGAAAGAATTTAAAAGTAGCTCGTAGCAAAAATTACTTAAGAAACCTAAGAATTGATACTCGAAGAGAATCGGTTATAAACCTATGTCGAAATCAAACCCCATGGCACAAAACTGAGTTCCTATGGTAGTTCTAGGATTCTTTGGTTGATCAAAAAATGGAACTAAAGAGCAAACTTAATAAGATATTAATTTTGAGGATTTTGGGTAGATAATGACTTTGTAAGAGCTTTACAAAGTCAATGTTGTTTTTAGTGACTCTAGGTTTTTAGAAAATAAAATAGGATTAATATTTTAGGCAATTTCAAGAGTTTGGTAATAGATCTATAAGTAAATTTTTTAGGATTTGTAGATGTAGTTGTGCTAGATGTGTACTATAAATTTGAGGTTGATCAAATAATTAGATTGAAAAGCATGAAATTTTTTGTGGATTATGAACTTAGAATTATAGGTTTTAAGGACCAGTTAGGTTTTCTTAGATATCTCTTAATTTGCTAATTAGATTGAAGCAAAACTTTTCAAAGAGGTAGTTAACTTAATTTCTAACAAGTATGCAAAGTTCGAAAGCAAAGTAATAGTTCAAGCAGGAGTAATTAGCTCTAGGAGATTGGCATCAAGGTCGGAGAAGAAAGCCAACTAACACCTGAGCACATTTTTGAGATTATCATCTATTTGGTAATTCCAACCTTTTTTAATTTTTTTGTATTTATTTTTAACTTAATTACTAAAAAAATTTAAAAACTTTGAATTTAAATCAATACTTCAAATATTAATTATTGAACTTCAAAATTTTTTATATGATTGTTAAAAATTTGTTTGAGATTTTAAAAAATTGATTAGATTTAATTAGGATTATGATTTGGTTAGGATTTAGGTTTTGGTTAGGATTAGAATTAAGATTTGATTTGATTTAGAATTTGGTTTGGATTTTTTTAGGATTTCTTTAGTATTTCTTTATGATTTCTTTAAGATTTCTTTAGGATTCTTTAAGATTTCTTCAAGATTCTTTAAGATTATTTTAAGATTTTTTGCGGATTTTTTTGAATTTTTTTAGGATTTTTTTAGGATTCTTAAGATTTCTTTAAGATTTTTTTATATTATTTTATAATTTATTTTTAAAATAAATGATAATAATAATAATAATAATAATTAGACTTAATTGATACTTGATTGTGTTTATTAAGCTTCTATAGCTATTTATACATGATTTTATTAGAGTGATTATGACTTGTTATTGCAAATTCTTTTTAACTTTCATAGCCAAGTGCCTAGTGCATTCTCAAGCAAGACTTCACTTAATACAACAATGGTATTTTAAATACTTTATTTGAAAAGAATTACAAAGGCTTCAAAAATCATAAAAAAATAGGGTGGTCTTTACGTCCTGATATGGGATACTATTGATGGTTGAGAATCTAAACTAAACCATCTTTGAAAAGAACAAAGATCAAAGTATGTGGCAAATACAATTGGCTGCATCTTAGATTTCTTCAACATATGATGACAGCTCATTGTGAAACTCATCCTTAAAAGGATGGATAATGTCATGGACATACATATTTATTCTAATTTTTATTTATATGATTAAGTAGAAGTAGATAAAAATAAATTTATTTCATAATATTTTCTTGAGAAGCTTCTTAGAAGATTTATAAACATTGCTTTCACTTTATATGTGTTTCTAATTAATTAGTATGTTAGAAACTTGGTCAATAAGTTAACCACATGTTGGTAGCTTGGAAAAAAAGCTAATTAAGTGGCATACATGTAAAAAACTTGCCTTACAAGTTAAAATATATGTCTTGCAAAATCAACACATTTTAGAGGTCCTATAGGATATTGCCACGTAGCTCTTAATTGAGAGTATATATGGAAGCAAAAGTGAAGCCTTCTTCACTCTTATCAAAGCCTTTCTAGTCCTTAGGCTTGTCTCAAGACTTTCTAAATCTTCTTGTCTTTGGCAATAGTCATTCTAATTTAATACTATATCATCTTTGAGTGATTTTTTAATCTTTTTGAATGATACAAGAGTGTATTGATATTTTAATTCCTTGAGGTTCATATCTTTGAAAAATGAATAAAATTTCCATCCTAAGAATTTTGATAAGTTCGTGAAGATCTACAATAGTTGTAAATCTATTCTTACTTTTGTCAAGTATAACATCTATAATTTTTCCTTCTATTTCAAACAACTTGACAAATCCATAAGTCAAATTAGAAGAAGAAAATTTACAATCTCTAATATTAGATAAAAATTTCTACAAAGAGGGATAATCTATTTTTTTAAGAAAAAAATTAATATTAAAAATCTAAACAATTTATTTAAAGGTAGGTAATTCACAACCTTCAAAATACAACAATAGAAGTGGAGTAATCTATTCACTTCTAAAATAAGATAAGAACAATAAGTTAGGACTCTTGTCAAACTATAAAGGTCATGAATTTTGAAGATAGAAAACCTCAATATATTCTTAAGTCACTCAAAAGACTAAAATTCATTCAAAAATGATATAGTATTAAACTAGAATGAGTATTGTCAAAGACTAGAAGACTAAAAAGTCTTGAAATAAGTCTAAGAACTAAAAAAGCTTTGAGAAGAGTGAAGAAAGCTTCACTCTTGCCTCCATATATACTCTTAACTAAGAGCTACGTGGCAATATTCTACAGGACTTCAAAAAATGTCTTGACTTTGCAAAACACATATCTTAACTTGCAAGCTAAGTTTTCTATATGTATACCACATAGTTAGCTTCTTCCGCAAGCTACCAATATGTGGTTAACTTCTTGATCAAGTTTCTAACCTATCAACCAACTACAAATACATATAAAGTGAAAACAATATCTATAAAGCTTCTAAAAAGCTATTTTAAAAAATATCATGAAATAATTCTACTTTTACCTACTTCTATTTAATTATAGAAATAAAGATTAAAATAAATATGTATGTCTATGATATCTAATTGTTGAAAACTATTTTTGAAGCATTTAAGTTTGTAATTTAAAATTTCTTGAAAAAATAGTTAGTACTTAAGAATAAAATTCATGAGGTTGTGAGAAGAAACTTCAACCTCAGCATCATCTTCTTCAAAGAAAATTATAGATGTATCAATTTTTATGAAATTGAAGTGATAAGACTTTTTCTTCTCTAAATTTTTTATTTTAAATAGCCATATGATGAGATTTTGTTAAAATCATGCCTATAATGTCTTGAAAAGTCAAATTTTGTATATAAGAAGTATCATAAATTATCAACTCAAAAAAGTAAGATAAATTGTTCAAAACTATAATTATAAATTGTTTATCCAAGACTATTTCACTAAGAATTTGAAGGTAATTTTGGATGTTGATTACTTTCATCAAATATCTTTTCATATTTGTATTTTTATTTTTTCTTAAAGCATTATATTGTACAACTTGTTTTTTAGAAATAAAATATGTTGTTGGTTTCTTCTAATGTAGAGTCAACATAAGATGCCTTATATGTCTATATGGTTGTCTTTGCTACCTTTTCTTCAAATTTGAACTTTTTTTGCACTAAAAGTGACTTCATTAATTGCTTTTGGAAAAGTTGTATTAGTACATTTGGTTTGAATAAGCCACCACAATCTCTCTCTACAAAGAATTCTTCTATTTTCATAAACCAAACATTGAAATTTTAAATTCCTAAGAGTTTGTTTGATTCTCCTATCTTACAAGATTTATTGTTATGAACCGTGATGTTGGTTAAGATTTGTATCAATGAATTAGAATTTGCAAAACCTGATACTATTGAACTTGGTGTTTGAATCTGTCCATTAGAAACTTTTGAACTTGATTCTCTCTTTGTTGCATACAAATGTGTAAAATATCATTTGTAACAAGAATCAAGAATAATCCTTTTATAATACAAAATTCAACCCAAAAAGGGACTCACTGAATAATAATATTAAGTGATAAACCTAAAAGACATCTTGTTAATGACGTAAGCAGGGTTTCCACAGCCTATAATTTAGAACAAGTTGAACTCAACAACAAAGACTTAAGTCTGGAAGGACGTACCCCTTAAGTTGCTGCCAAAGCCGAGAGACAAGGTTTTCATGATGTCTGAGAGGTAGCGAGTGTCGGTAGCTATGAAAATACAGTCCGGAGAATTGTAGTTGTTAGCCATAGTAATCTTTGCAGGAGATTTCGAAGAGTTGAGGTTGCACATCGTGCACCAAACCCTGACCACTCCCTCGTTGTTCATGACCTGCTCTTGTTCATTGTAATGTAGCTCAAAGAAATTAATATATCCAATGTCCACCATAGCCTTAATTTGGCAAGCTTGAAGTTGAGGTTTTCCAGAAATGATGTTCGATCGCTGATTTGAATGGAGTCATTCCAGCGAGAAATATGCTTGGTGAACAGCGAAAAAAATACTCTTCCATTTCCTCAGCGCTGAACAACTGTCTTTCCGAAGATACCCCACGAATCGAACCAATCGCAGTTACCGCTCCCATAATGAAGGATCTGGTAAGGTTTGAGTCCAATGGCTTGCAATATGGAGAACATTATGCACACATAGACCAAGCAAATGACACAAAAGAGTATTAGTAACGAATCAAGACCAACGGTTCTCTACAACCTTAGTTTTTAAGCTATATTTTTAATTGTCATCAACATCATCTCAATATCAGTGCATGAGGCAAGAATTTTGTGAATGCTCAACTGCAAGGTTCAACACAATCATAAAACCCACCCGCTTATATTCAACCATTCGAGATTACAAACTTGATCACTATGGCATGTTTTGCGGTCGGGACATATCGATGTTTAACACACTCCTGCAACAAGAGAATCTAAAGCTCACTGCAAGAAAAATCTAGCTAGAAATACATGATTCACTAACAGAAAAATCGAAATTTTTCAGTAGACTAAACATTCGCAATTGCAGTTCCTTCAAACTTCGTCCAGTGCAGTTGTCTCAAGTTGCAAGTGAAGTGGGTTTAGATTATGACCATGACTCTATCCATCACAAAGAACGACAAAAAAACTACCTTCATTGCAGAAAACCTTTAGCGAAGACTCTGGTACCTGTACTCTATCAAATAAATAACTCGTTACAGATTCAAAGAGACTGTCCAACTGCTCACAAAATGTCAATTGTTAAAAAAATCCACTCACACACAGTCATGGCTATGATCAAGGCTCAGTCGACCAACATGATTCAAGCAAACATTCAATCAAGGTACCCTGCTCGAAAGCCGACTAAATACCCATGCAGGACACAGCAAGAAACAGCGGACAACCCGTAAATGCAAAAGAACCTAGCTCTTGGTTTCAGGTCACCAACTTCGAACTTTCAATTCAATGGATCTTTACAACAATAGCAATGATATCGGTAACAATCGACAGTCTTCAGCGCGCGCGGCAGCCCGCTCCTCGGAAACATGGCTGCAATCAATCGCAAGCCAGATGAAACCAACTTAACTTAACACTTTCAAGCAAACATGTCGTTCACAAAGAGCAATGCTGGATCAACACAGTGGTCATCAAAGTAACTAACCCAAGCATGGACAACCTGACAGCAACTGAGGAAAGCCAGCTGCGCCCAATCATTCCTAACTTTCTCTCAAAACTTGCACAGCAATACACATGGACAATCAATGAAGGGGCACTTACATGGACGAGAGAGGCATCCCACTGCAGCACTCATGCAGGTGCTCATGGGGTGGATTGTGTGGACTAACCCCTGTTTTTTGTTTTTTTTAGCTTCTCTGCAAGATGCTGTCCTTTTTGCAGTGAGTTGCATTGTCATGCGCACAACTGCCTCCATCAAACCCTCCCTTGTCATGTTGCACATGAGTGGGCGCAGGACCCACGTTTCTGACAAGCCTTCCAAGCTTCAGATTCATTGAGAGAGAGGAAAAAGAAAAAAAACAAAAACAAAAACAAGTAAAACCCCCACTGACCCTCTTCGCAACTACATGTCAATTCCGTTCGAGAATGAGGAAGAAGATGACGATTTCCTCAGACTTTCTTCAGTTTAGGGTTTCAAGTGCCAGACAATAGTGGTTGCAGTAACCAAGTAGGGATCCTGGAATAAGCGATTTTAGGATTTTGTATGACATGTTACAAGAGTTGATGACTTCATTGTTGCCATTAGCCACCACCCCTACTTGAGCCGCAAAACCACGAACAAACATGCAGCGCAAAATCGTGCACACACACATAGATGGTGTTGGCGGCCAGAGCTGTGGTGGAAGGTTTAGAATCATATTTTTAGGTTTTGGGATTTAGTGTAAGGATTTGAGCTGACGTTTTTGGGTTAGGATTGACAGTGGGATTGGATAAACCTATAGCTTTATGTACATTCTTAGAAGTATAATTTGAAATAAACGTCAAGATAGGTTTCATTTAGGGTTGATTGAGTTTTGGTAAGATTGTGTTTTAGATTTTGAGAGGTTGTAAACAACTATGCAGATGGCTTTTATAACATGCTTTTTAGTTTGTGGTAGGAATAAGGCAATGCTTTAGTGATATTTTCTATTTTGAAGGCTATGCTTTGCAAACTGATTATAAATATTACTTATTGATAATAGTAATAATTAATGTGATTGTGATTAATACAAACTATGAAATTTCCAAACAAATGGAATATCTGTATATGATTTTTCTTTTTTTAAATAATTGGGTTGCACGCAAAAAGTTCTTTGGAGTTAAAGTATTGAATAGTTGTTCCTTGCTAATTAATATCATGCATTGCAAAAAAAAACAGACATATATATATTTATATCTATATTTATATCTATATTTATATATTTATATATATATATATATATGTAAATTACCAAAATTTATTTATTAGCAAAAAAATACATACCATTAAATACCTATATTCTAGCTAGAGTTGGTTTCTAAAATTTTGATTGATTATTGTGAGTTATTAGTTTTGGAGGATTAATTATCATCAAAACATTTTTATAAAAAAATTATTGTTGTATTTTAACAGCAAAGAAAGATGTTATTATTATTTTTATGTACTTATAATTAGTAGGATTAAACAAAAAAATTAATGCAATGGTAATAAAGAAAAAATGATTTTTTTTTTTTTGTAAACAAATTTGATTATCAATGTTATTATAGGACATTTAATTGTACATAATAAAAATTATAAAAATAAAATTGGTGAAAAAAATATTATATATGATTTGATGTATGATTCTTAAAACATAAATATATAGCAAGAGAGAGAAATAAATATTATTAAAAAAATATAAACTTTGGATTTATTAAAGCAAAAAGAACTTCAATTTTAAATTTTGATGTAACTCATAAAAATAAATAAAAATTATTGCTACAATCTTTAAACTTTCACAAAGTTGACATAAACATTCAAGAGGATATGTTGTGAATAAGCTTCTATAAGTTTAATTCATAAGAGTCATCACAAATATTGATGAAAGAGCATAATCATCTAACACTAACATATACTAATTTCAAATCTTTACACTCTAATAAAGAACATTATATCAAACTCGATACTTTGTAAGACCAAATTAACAATATAAAGATTGTATACAGTATTATTTGAGATAGAAATAACTCCCAAATCTCCTAAAAAATTCCTCCTTCCAACCTTGAACATATTAATCAACCACAAGAACAACCAATAATTCTCAACACTAAATAAATAAATAATAATAAAAAAAATGTAACCAAACGTATTATTAATAGAAAATAAACAAACTCCTATAGCTTCATATCATAATAATAACAAATTTGACACAATACATATAGGGGAATGTTAAATAGACCCATGTTTTTACTAAATAGACCCACCCTTGATGAAGAATATGGCAATCATGATGAATGTGGTTAGTTTTTAAATGGAATGTCTAATAATAGAGAAATGAATCCAAAAATCATAATATTTTTTCATGATGGGAGGGTCACAGTACTGACGACGGCGTCACCGTCCGTCGTGAAAGGAGCCCCGCCACCGTCGCACCGCTGACTGACTTATTTTTCGTTCATGGTCGCCGTCGTCGACATCTTCGGTGTTGTGAGGTTGCGATTGAGGAAGTTGGGCTTTTGGCGTCAAATGCTCGCAACGTGGGTCTCTAGGGGGAAGGCTCGGATGATCCTGCTGCCGGCAGAGCATTTGACCTGTTCCAGGCTGACAGCAGCACTGCTGTGAAATCATCGCAAGCTGCCAAGCTTGAACCATCATCCTCGCCACAGCCCTGTTTTGTAATGACGACGCTGGAGGTGGCTGCAGTAGCAGAAGCAGCAATAACAGAATCATCAGCACCTCCCCCATGAACTGCCATGTGTTTCTGCCGAGACTGTACCAATTTTTCAAACAAACTCTCGGTTGTTTTATACGACCGGTACTTAAGTGATCCAACCGAAGCAGAATCAATCCACCTCGACCCAGCTCTTTGCGGCAAGCAACATATGCTCGCCGAGGCTTGGATTTATGGAGCAATATTAGAATACAACCTTTTTGGGTTACTGTTCAGGCGATTTCTTAAGCCAGATCATGCCACCGTATTTTCGATATCGTGTTGTGGATCATCAGGGATACGAGTTTGGGAAAAAGTCCGTGTGTTGTGCGTTCGTTTCACATTGTAGACACAAACGCTGAAGGTTCCAGCCTCGAAGATTCACGTACCTGTGAGACCCAAAAAATAAAAATAAAATAAAAAATCTGAAGAGGAAGGTGGTGGAGAAAGAGAAAATTGGCGTGGAAGACAAGAGCTGGCTTGGGCAACAAGGAACAGGCGGCGCTACCCCATGAGCCCACATACCCACCTCATGAGGACTTTCTATGTTTGTGAGCCTCCGGTGTCCACTTGCTGTATTTATCTCTTTTTCTCTGTCCCTATCAACGTGGTGAATGCTAGTGGATAGATGCTTCGTCAACTTGGCGACGGTCTTGGCCCCCGGGACTCGGGACAGCCCCCCCCCCATTCGGCCTTAATTCTCATTTTTCTATGTAGTACTGGGTATCAGCCTTAAACGACAGCTTACAGCCTCCTAATGAGCGGTAACTTTATGCTGATTAGGGCACCAGAGCTTTACCATGATCATTCTCTAGGTTCTGGAGGACTTGATTAGCGGACTCTGCGTGCAGACCGACACTTATCATCACCACCACTCTACCATTTCCATCAACTTCACGAGCAATTATCATTCAGGTTGCCCATATCGCCATGTTTCTCTAGCATGCAAAAAATCAAGACTGACATGAAAGTAGCTGGTTTGATCGTCGTAATTAAGCAGCACAATGACTCGGGAGCTTGTGACGATCACCGATGTAACTTCCTCATGGTCGGGCAGTATTCACCTGTGATCTAAGCACCACGGAAGCACCACTGATACGGGCATAGTTTGTTGAGCAATGCTGAAACAGCGCGATTGACTTAGAATGATATCTCAGTGAACTTAGAAAACCATAGTCATATCAACAAACAAATACTGTCGAACAGGCAGTACGATGATGAGCTTGAACTCACAATCTAAATCACGCACATTGCATGGAAGCATTCGCTCAATGTATCAACGCAGCTAACACAACCATTACATTGCTGGAAGATGATCCGTTGCCACCAAACAGTCAAGCATGAAGCAAAAAAAAAAAAAAAAAAAAAAAAACCTTCGTATCACACTCAAGCAATCCATTAAGATTATTGTGTTAAAAAAATACTCAAATTTACACTCTTTCCTTTCATAACTATACAGTGGAGTATCATCGCAACGAAGCAAACTACGAAGTTGCACAAAGACTTGACGATCCTTCTATGTTACATGGCAGTGTCGTCAGTTTAGCTTCGACTGGCCACACATCCACCCTGTTAGTTTACATTGTACGCATTCAAATTGAATGCATTTCAGACTATAGTATGAAAATTAGCGAGAAACTTTCCGGGATTCGAGTCTGTACACTATCATATGTCAGGGTCTAACTTGCTAAAGAAAAACTTCCTCCACGTCTAATTCACGAAGCCGTGAACAAGGGTTCACTGCGTTTGCATCCAACTCGTAAGACAATGCCATTGCAAGATCTCCGTTGACACATGAGCCTCGTTCTCAACCAGACTGTTAGTTTCTGCTGAGGTCATCTCCAATAAGCAGCAATGGGAGAGTTTCCTTCCACACGTAGAGCCACAGTTCGGACTCCAGCCATTGGCGTGTTATTCTGCTGCCTGTCTTTTGAAAACCTCTCTATAATTATAAGTTAATCATACAACAAGCTCCGCTCCATTTCCTCTAAGTCCCTGTCGACGTCCGAGCTTTGGTCCCTTCCCATTATCTTGCAACAGCCCTTCGCTCTACATTCATGGATACACGAGTGTAATACCCTGTTCATAAGAAAGAAAGAAAAAAACACCGATCAGCACTCGGAACACAATAAAAAATACAAAAATAAAATAAAAACCTTTGCAACCGATAATGCGTCATATATATTGCATAGCGAAAAAGCCTTTGAATCCAATAAATCAGAAGACTAAATCAATAATCTAGAAAGAAGAACCCAATCGATCGATGCTAAGAAACAAAGAACGTGAAATTACCTTGTTCTCTTCCTTCTAGAGAGGCAACGTTGCTGCGCTCAAGGGCTGTGAGGCTGGCCTCGTTGCAGAACCGCCACATTTTACTTTCCACCACCGCTGAGCTCGAGGTGTCGACAAATCTCCTCCTCCTCCTCCATTCTTTCGTGCAAACCAAGTTAACTCGCTTGCTTCGACTATTTACGGTAAGAGCGAGTTGTATGCCTCGTCCTCCCACTACCCAAGCGTCAATTTCTTCTCAAAACATTGGCGCCCTGTGAGGACGCACTTGTTTCCTGTGGTGGACCTTGGGACCCGACTCGTAGGTCGGCGTGGGAGGGGCCATGGGGCTTGTCAGTGTCAATCCCATCCCGTCGTCCCGGGGGAGATGGACCAACAATCCAAAAACAGGGGCTGCAGACAATGCAGACTTCGCCTTCTTCGAAAATGGCGACGGGGTCTCCTTCAAACTGCGCTTCGAGATCTTCTTGGGAGTCTCGGGACTGAAATCCGTGACTCCTGAACCATGGCTGTGCACGCTGTGTTCCGGAGATGCTGCGCCAACATTATCTGTGCCTCCCTTGCTAAAGAATCCCGGGCCCGACTTTGAGAAGACCGTAAGGGTGAGAGTAAAGTCGTGGGGATCCAATTGAATTCCTTCCAACTTGCATGAGATGGAGCAAAACCGGACAGGGTCTGCAATGCTGCGCTGGCACCGCTCGCAGTAATGCGCCGCGCCCTTGACAATCTTGGGTTGCGGCTTCGACTGCAAAAACACAATCTTTGCGCTGTTGATGGTATACGGCTGAATGTTGGTCAGATCGACATACTTCTGGATGTCGGCAATGCGCACCACGTCCCTGTGCGACGCCCTCCGGATTTGAATGGTGGCGTGTCCCAACCCCCTGTGCGACACCGTCAGCTCTTCCGGACACAATGGTCCTTCCTGCGGGCAATCGAAGCAAAACTGGTTTCTCTCATTCTTCCCTGAAGTGTGGTGGTTGCAATGCGAGAAGAAATCATCGCACTTCACCAACGCCGGCAACCACGACGGCCCCTCACGATTCATAAAAGTTCCACCCATCACCATTGTATCTCGTTCCTCTGCTTCCTTCACCACTACCGCTTCCTCCACAACCCAACTCTTTCCTCCACAAAACTCACAATGATCCTCGAAACGCAATGCGCACCCAATTCACCACCCCTCCACGCAATGCACGCACACGCACTCAAAAAACCACAACAACACTCGCTGAATCCCTCAAATTCACTCAAACACACTGCCACGTTCTCCCAAGCGAGATAAAAACTTGCCGAAGCTCCACTACCCACAATGCGGTAAGTCAAGTGACTGTAGGCGCTATTGTACGAGAAGGCACTGATGGCTTTTAAAGGATTCCAGACCCCAACAAAGAAAGAGAAAGTGAGTGAGAGAGAGAGAAGAAGAAGAAGAAGAAGAAGAAAAAAAAAGAGGTCTGTTTGCTGCTCGAGGCGGCGTGACAGGAAATAGTTGAAAAACGGGAGTGGGATGGGAGAAGAAGGGTGGGTATTGGTATGGGGGAAGGGAAGTGAGAGGTGGGGGCGAGGAAAGTGGGCGAGAAGCTGGCACGGAAAGTAGCAGGCAAGGCAGACAAACAGCCGGTCATGGTCCATCCCATCCGTCTGCGGTGGTGGTGGTAATCGAAGTCCAGCGCAGCGCAGCGCGACGCAGCGTCGGCGAGCCGAAGCATCCACGCAGCGGCGACGCTTGGTGGCAGCAGCCACCCTGCCTGCCTCCCTTTGCGCGGGCCACGGGACTCCCCGCGGGCAGCCACAAAGGGAGTTAGAGTTAGAGTTGGAAAGAGTTAGCGCTGGATGATGGCAGTGGCGGCCTCGTCCACGTCCCCATCCACATCCCCAACTGGACCCCTATTTCGGGGTCCGCGTGGGCAGCCACGTGGGCTTGCTCCCCCTGCCAGCCCTGCTCGCCGAGTCCCCCCACCGGGACGTGGAGGTGACTCACGATTCTCCCTCTTTGTGGCGAGGCAAAAAAGTAAAAGTACCCTCCGTCTACTTTCCCCCTACTCCCGCTCCATACATTCCACCCATTACTCATATTTTATTTTTTTGTACTTGGGATTGAACCTTTGTATTTGTACCTTTTGTTGAGAGATTTATTTTTATTTTTAATGTGTTACTTTTCTGCCTGAGCTTGATTTGTGTGTGTGTGATGAGGATTGCATGGAATTTTGACATTGCTGACATAGGATTCATTTCCTCATCTGAGTGTGCATTGTACCAGAACAATTCCCTGCATGGGAATTCGTCTCTGAAATGCTGGCAGAATGGCAAGGCCATCCAAGTTTCTGGAATGTCCAACCTGCATGTTTTGGAAGCAATGCTCTCAAGGGGTGATTGTAAAGATGGGATGTGAAATTTTGCATGTACTTGGAATTGAAAGACTGGAAAACCACATGTCACTGATGTTGAGATAGCAATGATTGTGTTCATACTTGGAGGCACATTATTGAAGTGCCACTTTAATACAAAATTTTGCCTGAAAATTTGAAACTTTTTTTTAAATTCTAAGATGAGAAAAGGAAGCATTAAGGTGAAGACAAGTGATAGGGTGAAAGATTTGCAAATTTTGTGCATTCTTGGTTGACCCATTGCACGTCCAGAATCACAGCAAGATACACAAATAAATGAAAGAACTATCTCTCTTTATCCAAATGGAAAAAAGTTTCTGGAAGCCCAAATCACAAAACTGTACAGTAGCTCAGTAAAAACCATGCCAAATTCACTATATTAGTAGAAATGATGTTAGAATGCACGTTGAGATCCATGTGCACGCATCACTGTCACTGATATCTCATCCACATCTCTCATGAATAAAGGTTCCATTTGTGATTCACAGACAATATATAATTATCTACATGTCACAAATAATTCTCCATGCATAACTATCTCAACACCTCCCAACATACATCCCTCTTTGAATGCCTTTTAGCAACCACTATTTAAAATCCTTTTTGTATCAACTCATGAAAGTGGAGAACTGAAATAAATAATGTAATTAATAATAATAAGAACACTGATGTTAGCTTTGTAGAGAATTGAATTTCACCATGCCATTGTTTCAACACCCAATATCTACTTTAAACAAAAAATAATCAAATCATAATAGTGAATTAAAATTTGTACTAATGATAAGAACACTATATTGACTTCAGTAATGCAACTGCTCCTGTGAAGAAAAAACCACAGGCACAAAACTGTGTGAAGATTGGAAAGTTGACAATGCATTTTGATACTGAAGCCACCTGTAGATCAGACCCAACAAAGAGAACTCTTGCAGGTTACTCTACCCAAAAGCTCGGTTACAAGCATGGCCACGAAGCCTTCAAAAAAACTTCAGTTAATCACGAGAAAGCGATGAAGGGTGATTCGGAGGCTAAACTCGTGGGGGCAAAGGGTTCAGACGGCTACCGCAGCTTGGAGAGGAAGCAAGGTCCCGTTCACACGGTAAGGCGCACGATGGACCACGTGGCCGATGATGTGGCCAGGGGTGATTGGAAGGACACCTTTATTTGTCCACATGGGAGAGTGAGGACGGAATTTTGGCGGGGGAAGTAGAAACAATGGATACAGACAGTCAGTATGATTGGGGGTTCAAACGGGGACCGGCCGGGTCAATGAAAGGCTGGAGGATCCCGCGACGACTAGGTTGACCCGTTCGGCACCTCTGATGTTGGTCCCCCTTTTACCCCTCCCGGCCAGCGTTGCGATCCCGTGTTGACTGTGCCGCCTCCGGGTTCGTTCTCTGTTCCCGATTTCTGTGCCCCTGACGTGTTCCCGACTGCCACTGCTTCGTCCTCGGTAAGAAACCGCGCGGTTGTCTGCATGCAACGGGATATTCCTCGGGTTCCGGATCCCGTGACCTGCCCTCCTCGGATCCTCCTAGCTTACTACGATGCTGGCGAATCTGGAGGAATCCGACGATGCAACCAGGAATTCGCTGTGGAATCCCGAAGGATTGGTGTGCTTCGCGATCAATCATGCTCCCGAATTTCCTGTTGGGGGAATATAAGCTCGCTTGACAGGGCCGACTGGAACGAATCGCGGTTTTTGGTGTCGTGAATCTGAAGCGCCGACGAGCCGTTTAACAAACATCCGGTTCAAGGTATCGAAGAAGCACAGATAAGCTTATTTCCATTCCGGGCGAAGGCAATCGTGATGTGGGTAGATGCGAAGTTCGTGTAAACTGGAATGTTGGGTTCGCCTTCTTCTTCTTTACCATTTCTTATTAATTCTCTCTCGCGCTCTCTCTCTCTCATGCTGTCTTTCTCGTTCTTCTAGTGTACGATGCAAGCCACTGCCTGTTATGCAGACAGTGGTGTTCCCAAGTGAGAGGTTACAACGTGGATTTGCGATGTGGTAGTCGCTGTGACCAAGTTCCTTGCGCTGACTGGGTCCTTTTGTGTTTTGTTTTGTCATTTCAAAAAAAACACACATAAGAATATAAATATAAACCTGTGTCCAATAGTTGGAACTAAAATTGTCAGGGAGACCAACAATGTGGAGTGCATGACTGGCTTGATGTGAACAGATCGACTGAATGATTCACATTTTGATGTTGGTGATGCCTCTAATGCTTCCCAGAGACTTCAGGTACTACACTCAGCAGAACATGTCACAGCTTATCAGAGTAAGAAGGAGTTCATCCCAAATGTTAACTGCTGATGCATCCATTGTCTGAATTTGTACCTCAACAATCACAAGAGTGTCCTGCACCCACATTGATCAGCAATCCTTTTCCAAAGTGCGATTTCTGTACCTTAAAGACGAATCATTCATTAAAAACGACAACAGCCCCACAACAGAAAGTGCAAACACAGGCCAGTTGATATATATATATATATATATATATATCCGGAAAAAAAGCAGACAATTCATTTCATCAGCGGTAAGTTTTTTTCTTCGCCTATAAATATATATACATATATGTATATATGGAAATTATAACAACGGTAGAATGAATAGAGGGGTTCATCCACGAAACGGCAACATTGTGTTTCTTTTGCAACCTCAGATTTCGCGCAAGCTATTAAAAAAACGTGACAAGTTTATTACAAATTGCAAGAGCCATATCCGACGTCACCGGAACCCAGTCTCCGACACGACGGATTATGTGCAGACGCGACAAACCATATACAGAGGTAGGTACTCTTGGGTGGTCATTGGACCACTCTTGCAAGTCTACCAGGTTATCACCCAACACCGGAGCCTACCGAGCAGGGCTTCCGTGCGGAATGGTACCATATTCTCCCAAGTGACGATTCATGGGTAGCTGTAACCTCCCAAGTGTTTCCACCAGCGTTCACAAGTGGGGTGCGCGGCCACGTGTTCACTAATTCCAATAGTTGGGGCCTTTCTTTTAAGTAGTGAATGTTCATTTAGAAAATTACGACAGCGAAGTGCATGAGAGTTATCCATGTGAGGTGGCGTCTTGCTTTCCATCTTATCCTTTTCGTAAGGATGGGTGGCAGATTCTGATCTCGCGGTACATTCTCTCTGGCGTGGCCAACTCCTTCACCCCGCATGGTAGTTGCGGCATGTTCCACTCCACCGCTATTACCCGATGCCTGCAGGAGCGTCGATCGACAAGGTTGGATTGGTGGATAGGATCCGACGGCAGCAGCCCGGCGGCGTGCTGTGCAGGTAAAAGGTGAACTTAATATCCAGCCGTTTGTTTGTTTAATGTCATTCTCTTCCTTGCTTGGCAAGACTCTCGCGGTTGTAGGGTCCCTGAAGCCAGGCGTGAAGTTGGACAAACCTCCGAAACACCAGCTTTCGTCCGAAAACTCCAAAAGCAACCGTATTCTTATTAAAGTGATGGGTTTTGATCAAGTCAATCATCGTCTACAAAAATCTGTATGGATGTCTAATCATCAACTTGTATCCGCCGACGCATCTCGTTTTCTGGTTAGAGAATCCTAGTGTTCGACAACTTTAGATAGAGAACTTAAAAACGGACTCTGCCGCTTCGCAGCTTGGAAAATCCAACAAGCGGCGCCGTATCTGGTGTTTTTTTACCCCTGCGTGTTTCCTCGTACAGTTTGCAGGTACATCATATAAAAGCCC